AGGTTTTATGGACGATGGTTTAGTGCGCATGGGGGTGTTGGGTTGCTGGTTGGACTGATGATCTTGGAGGTCCTTTCCATCCTTAATGATTCCTGGTTTTACTTTCATTATAAATAATCCAGCCACCAAGCCAGGAAACATGAAATTATTACTCTCCCCTTAATTGGTTTAGTGGTGGCCTTGGTAGTGTAGGCTAATGGTTGGACTGAATGATCTTAAAGGTCTTTTCCAACCTAAACGATTCCATGATTCTATGAACATTCCTCCTACACCAAGTCAGGAACAGTTTTCCACCAGCTCCATTTTTGGGGCAATAGTGTTTGACTAAAGAAGACCAAAGAAACATGAAGGATTGCTACTACGAAGAGAATATTTTATTACTTATAACACTTCATTCAACTAAATCCACATAGCAATACACACAGAAATACTTCAGAAAGTGCAAATTCTCACTCTGTATTTGTAATATGCCCTAGTTTTACAGAACAGACACCAGGTTAACAAGAGTATAGATCCAGAACTCCCCAGGATTCTAGACAAGGAGAACGACACGGCTTCAGGAGACTTTAATCACCTTGTAAAAAGCTACTCTTGAGCACACAAAAGGCCGGGGAGGATGGAATTGTGCTGTGCGCCAGGAATTTGGCATCAGGGTGGACTCTGATCATCCAGGTGTCACCATGCAAAGAGCCCTCCTCTCTTACATGGGGAGAGAAGAGGGCAAAAAGGGGGAGGAAGACAAAATGAAGCGATGACAATAATAGTTTCAAAATTAAAGAGAACATCTAAGTGCTTTCTAAAGCTTTTGGAAGTGCTTTCTAGAGCAGACCACGCGTTCCACACCCTGCTCCAAGTGACAGAAACCACCACTCCACCTGGGGCCTTCTCCCTCAGTTTGACACAAACAGACTCCCTTTAATAAAACAGGAGCGGAAATGCCTCACACTTCAGGAGCCAGACAGAGAGGGGACACAAAGTGCTACCTGAGTACTGCTAAATCAGGGAATAACACCAGAAATTTCAACATGCGGGTATCCTCCAAGTAGAGATACAGCAACAGCTTGAGAGCAGTCAAGAACTGCTCGAGGCAGGTAAGAGCCCCAGGCAGTGTGTACTGCATGTTAAGTCACCTCAACGTCCAAACCAGAAACACACAGAATTTTAATTCTTAAATTTAGTCTGTGGATGACACAAATAAGCATTTCTCCTCCTTAAAAGGAAGAGCTGGGTATTTAAGATGAAGGAAGTTAGGAGACGTACTCAGGCAAGAGCCCAGCTCTCCCACAGCCGGAGGGAAAGCCGGCTCCTTCGAGCTGCATCCCGCTGGGGCCCAGGCTGCGGGACGGGCAGGTGACGCACAGCCAGCTCACCAGCTGCAGAGGACACCGCGCCGACAGCCAACACAAGGCCGAGGCTACAGCTCGAGCTGTGCTTGGAGCTCCCAGTCAAACTGTCCTGTGTTAGACACGCTCCCTCCTTCTCTTCCACGCAGGAGTTTAGGATTCACTCGTGCCGTGGCAGCAAGCATCCTTTAGAGGTGCAGGAGGAGAGATGTGAATAGCACTTGCAGCTATTTAAACCACAGAGCAGATGCTCTATTGCAGCTAGAGTAAAAGAATTCTGCTCTAAGCTCTGTATTGTAGACATTCAACTTTGCCTGGCAAGTCTCCTGTACTGATAAAGATCCTAGCGTAGGCCCACAGAAACACAACTTTACCCGGTCTCTGTCTCGCTCAGATATTAAGTCTGTCACATCAAAAAGGGAAAAGACAAAACCAAGCCCTCTTAATTTTATCAAATGCTAAAAAAAAAAAAAAAAATAAAAAAATCACTGGCTTTATGATTACAGTTTAAGCCAATGACTTGCTGTAGATCAGCCTCCAAAAAGGCTTAACTGGAAGCGCCTCGTACACAACATCCATAACGGACTTTAATCTATTATCTGCTTCCTACTCAAGTTTGAAAGGCCTTTGTTCTTCTCTGAAAAGCAGCGAAGAACAGCTGACAACTGAAGAAGGTTGTGCGCAAGCCCAACAAACTCTAACGTGATATATAGCAAAGTTACAGGGTGATTAAATAAGAGAATTACAGTCCTTCACAGTAACAGAAGTAAGGGAAGCAAGATCAGAGGGAGGAGATAAAGGAGGAGTTCCACAAATGGAACAGTATAAATATGTTAAACAGTCAAATACAGTAGGAAAACAACGGTAGCAGCAGTTTAAAAACAGCAATAGTTATTATACCCTTAAAATACATTCAACACATTGTGCCTGTTGCTGTCATTCCAAAAGCACTACTACGTCTATAACTTACTGCTCAAATCTATTGACGAGAAGAATCCCAGATACTTAACTCCCTGTATTTGTTTTTTTATTAAAGATATTTAGACTATGAACAGTTACCAACTTCTAAGAATGCTGATTTGAAAACATAATCACGATTTGCTTCCATACTGCATTTATAACACTTGCCTACTGATATAAAGCGGCGCTCTCTGGGAAATTGCAGATTCCCACTTTTTGTAGGAGCGCAAACGTAGCTCACAAGACGTTAACTCCTAATGCTAACTGCTACAATATACACACAGCTGGCCTCATCACGCACACTACGCTTTTTACAGTGTTTACCTTTGTTCAAAATTACGTTCCAAGTCACTTCTTCTCTTCTGAACCACTAGAAGGCTATTTAAAAAACAAAATCCAAAATGCCTAAGGCTTTAATCTGCTGCCAGCGGAACCAAAGGCAAGACCTCCTTCAAATTCACTGCAGTCGGGATCCAGATCTGCACCTTTTCATGAAAACTGAAGACAAAGCAGCAGTCGGAAATGCCTTCACACCTTCTGAGACCTACCCAGCACTGTACAATAACATGAGTATACCCTAAGTGTAAATGCTTTCACCCATTTTCCCCACCACATCAGTCAAATGTACAATCAAGGAAAAAAAAAAAAAAGTTTTTTTGGCATTAGATACATTTCACTCAATTGCAGAACAATTTGGAAATATTTTCTCTTGAAATAAAAAAATAAATAAATATCAGCGGCAAATAAGAATTTGTGCAACACAGATCTTCTGCAGTACATGTACATTCATATACAGCAAAATACTTATCCACGGTTATAGTGCAAAGCTGCTGTCAGCATGAAAATACCCAATACCCACACAGACACAGAAACCTCGGTGCTCTTTAAAGCCATCTAGATGCAATACATACAAAACCACTCCGCACAAGCCTACGGCCTCAAGCTGTAAGGGTATAATAAGATGGAGGACAAATTTAGAGATTTAACAATAGTGGCAAAACAGTGGCTTTAACTTCAGTGCATCTTCGGTTCCTCTCATGTAACCTCCAATACAGGTGTTCAGTTTTATCTATTTCTTTCCTCTAATTACTGTAAAGTGATAGCGGGGAGATGTTCAGATCATCACTGACTTTACTCTGAAGGCTTATATTAGCAATTTAGTAGCGCGCATTAACAAGTATTATTCTCAGTTAATCGATATGCAGTTTTTCTTGAAGTGTTGTTTCAGTTAAAGTATCTTCCGCAGCTTTTCTGTGCCAAAGGATGGCTTTTATTTTCTGAAATCCTAGATATCTCCATGAGGATTTCTGTATGAGTCTATTTTTTTGGAAAAAATCATTAGCAGTACCACTTCCTGCTCAAGCAAAGGTAGGAAACAGAAAATGGGAAGTTATTAAAAATTTGCCCTGGGAGATAAAGAGTGATAGTACTTGTAAACCGCTGTTCTAACAGAAATTAGTTTAAAAGATGTGACAAAAAAAAAATACCATGATTTAGTAAAAAGAAAAAAACATCAAGGGTGTCACCTTCACTTTCTTCCTTTTTTAATTTTTTTTTTCTTTTTAAATACATAGGCTATGAATTGAAGCCATCAAAACAAAAGAAGTCACTAACTGGAATTCTCATACAAAGTTACTACATTTCTGAAACCTTTATTAAAAAAAAAAGCTTACGTCCCTGCGGGGATGCAGGACAAAAAATGGTTACAAAGCCTATAGGAGTTAGAATGGGCAATTTAACCGAGGAATGAACAAGTTTCTACTCCTTTGGAAGCCTTGGAAAGGCACCGTGTAATTCAAAACCCAGGCTGCAAGTGGAACTGCATGTGTTGCCACTATTGTTTCACTGTCAAATAAATATTTTAAGATACACACAGGAAAGATACAATGCACCAAGAGCACCTTTAACAACAGAAGGATACTTAAATAGCTGAAAAATGTCATATTGAACAGCTTGCCTAAACAAGAAGTGCTAAGCACTGAACTCTACTTCAACATTTTTGGAAATTAAGACCTGTAACAGTAATACCTACATTCACGCACAACAGCTAGGAAGAAGCAGGCTTTTTTGTCAGTTTGGAGTGATCACTTCCTTCAAATACTGTAACTACCTGATTTTAAAACCTTTTCACACAAAAGGTATTGGGTACCTGAAATTAAAGACAAGAGCTACTGGCTAAGATCAGCTGTCTTAAACCCACGAGGGCCATTCATTTGCATTGGTGTGGGTTAATTAGTCTTTTGGTCAAAAGGACAGAAAATTGTAATAATAGATTCCATCCTTTTCTCTCGCTTCCTCTCCTTATCCCAATTTTCTGGCCCATACTTTGGTGAAAAGCCTGACAAAAGAATGCTGCTTCTTTATAGAATAAAGATGTAGCTGTTTAGCACACATACACACACACGCATTAAACTGAGTTCTGTTCTTGGTTCCTTTGTTTCACATGACGCAGTGCAGGTGGTCACTTCTTTCAACACCAGTTACAGGAGACCTACGCAGAGCGCCAGATCAGTCCATTCTTATCAGGTTCAAGAAAATTCTCAATCAAGGCTTCAATAAGCTTCTGAAGTTCTTCTTCCAGCACGCTTCTGTCACTAGAAAGGGAACAATACCATGTCAGAGGTTTGATAAACACCAAGCATCTATTAAAAGAAAAATAAATAAAAAGCAAGTTCTCGAATACTGTGTCCAGTTTTGGGCCCCTCAGCACAAGAAGGACATTGAGGTGCTGGAGCGTGTCCAGAGAAGGGCAGCGGAGCTGGGGAAGGGTCTGGAGCACAGGGCTGGTGGGGAGCGGCTGAGGGAGCTGGGGGTGTTCAGCCTGGAGAAGAGGAGGCTGAGGGGAGACCTGATCGCTCTGCAGCTCCTGACAGGAGGGGGCAGGGAGGGGGGTGTTGGTCTCTTCTCCCAAGTAACAAGCGATAGGATGAGAGGAAATGGGCTCAAGCTGCGCCCGAGGAGGTTTAGACTGGATATTGGGAGAAATTTCTTCATGGAAAGAGTGGTCAAGCATTGGAACAGGCTGCCCAGAGAGGTGGGGGAGTCCCCATCCCTGGAGGGGTTCAACAAACGGGCAGACGTGGCACTTCGGGACATGGTTTAGTGGGCATGGTGGTGTTGGGTTGATGGTTGGACTGATGATCTTAGAGGTCCTTTCCAACCTTAGTGACTCCTAGTTTTTACTTTCATTAAAAAAATAATCCAGCCACCAAGACAGGAAACATGAAATTAATTATTCCTCTGCCCTTAACTGGTTTAGTGGTGGACTTGGTAGTGTCAGGTTAATGGTTGGGCTGAATGATCTTAAAGGTCTTTTCCAACCGAAACGATTCGATGATTCTATCTGATGGTGACGGACTACATCTGTTATGTTTCCTACCAGCATGAACGTGTAGAAATTCCAACCTGCTTGCTTTAACTAGCTACTTTTCAGTAGGGACTACCGCAATATTTATTTAAATTAATTTAATTTAAAGAAAATTGCCACTAGAGGGCTCTAGGCTAGCAGAGAGAACACAAGGACTAACTGCAAAACCAATGCAAGACTAATTAGACACACTGTAAATGGATTAAAAACTAAGAACGAGCTAAGAGAAGAGGTAGATACCCTATATTCTTCTCTACACAGCATCCAGATGCCCATCTAGGGTATCTGATTGTATTTTGACTAAAGTGCAATTCAGGGGGATTGAGTAATCAGGCAAAGTGTCACAGTTTACAAGAGGACACCGTAATATACTGATCCTTTCCCTATTTAAATGCCCAGACCTTCATTTGAGTAAAAAGACAACATCCACATGCGCCAACACTAACGCATTGCAACACTCCTTTAAAAACACAAAATCCCTCTCCTACCCCAGAAGTCTCACTGGAAGGAGAGGAACTCAGTCTGTTTTTGAAGGAAAAAATAGGCAAAACAGGCTTATTTATACTTGCTTTGTTCATCTGTGGAACCGGCAATGTATCACTGCCCTTCAGGTCACCACTTCCTTTTAAAAAAATACCCCAAAAATGGTACAATAAAACTGACTTTCCTGATGCTTAGCTTCTAAGAATAATCAATAACAGCAACTCAGAGGAAATATTTGCAAAGCTATCACAGAGAGGAGTGCCTTTTGAAGTTCCTACAGACCATCTTATGCCTTGAACCAGGGAAGCTTGAAAGCTTTTCATGTTCCAGATCATAATTGCCATTAGCCATAGGTATTACTATAATTAGAGGTCAATGTATTTTTCTGACTTACTAGAATGAACATCAGCAGAAGCCCAAAAGATGCATCAAAGCACCTCGGGTACTTTGTTTCTCTTCCCACTACTCTTACTTGTCTGGCCCTCACTTGTGTTAAGATTTGGTTATTTCTAGCATTTATTTCTTCCTTGTTGGCACAGCTGTTTGCCTCAACTATATCTTACCTTTTCTTCAGCATTTACACCAAACGGTGCCTTACCCACTCCCAGGTTTATGGAAGCATGTTCCAATTGAAGTGAGAATTTCCATACCGACGTAACAAAGTGCATTCACATGCCAGACAATCAGAAAGTTCTCTGACCAAATAAATACAAGCTTCTGGCAAGAGCTGCCATTCAGAAAATTGGAGTGTAGAACTCCTACCACTTCTCTGACCTCCTGTTATTCCACGGTCAATTCAGAACAATTTAAAAACATGATTCAAAAGATGGGCCGTACCTGTGTTAATATACTTCATGTAGCAATAAACTGTATTTTAAAGAATACTTCAGCAGCCTGTGGAAAGCTGTCTAGGCATGAATCTGTGTATTGCCTCACACGCACATTTTACAAGCAAAGGTTCACTATCTACTGACTGCCTAAGTCTGACCAAAACATTCAGTGATAAAAATGTACTCACCCTGAACTCCTGCCAGTAAGTAGAAATAAACACCAAATCAGAGGCCCCTTTATGTTATTTTCAATTCTCTGCTCCATGGGAATGTTGGGACGTGAGTCTAAAAGGAGGGGTACTCATGCAATTTAGGTTAGGAACCCAGTTCGAGAGCCTACTCTTCATTTGCACTCCTGATTTCAATGGTGTAAATGTACCCTGTATTTCCCCCCCCCACTGTTTTAAACTGGAAGAAGCTCAATCCAGGTGGCTATCAAGAGGACAGACCTCTAGTTGCTAACCAGTAGCTCAGAGCAACACAGCAGATTCCCAGATGCAACAGGAATCCACCTGGGTTTAAGCATACTTGCCAGCAGCAGCACAACTTTGTCACTTTTTTATTCTAAGTAAATGAGGAATTGGGTTAATAAAAGAAGTCTCCTACTGTAGCAGATCTAAAAATTCAATTCTTTGTCTTATCCACCACAGAGAGGATGCCTTTATGAGCAGGAATGTGCATCACTCTGGCCAGTTTAACAGGCTGGAACAGTCAGCTGAGGCTCAGGTCTCCAAGGAGGCAGCAGAGGAATCCCCCACCAGGCAGGGAATCGATTCCTGCGTCCTGACCTTTCAGCCCAAAGGCATCTTGCAACGCGCGCGTGTGGACCTGCTACTGACCTCTGTTCGGGCAGCGCGCACATCTCTGCGTAGTACTTGATCTTTGGTTCTGTTCCACTTGTCCGAAGGGTGGCAACACAACCATTTTGAAATGTAAAAGTGATCATCTGACTGCTTTTACTCACTGGCAGCACCTACATAAACAACAACATTTTATTACAGAACACCCCAACTAACACAAGAGTGTTGGTTTTGCTTGTTTTAAATACAAAATTCAGTACATCCAAAGCTAAATAAACATGCTGAAATCCCCATCCACCAGCCAACACAACAGACTAGAACAAGTCATTTCAGCCTAACCGACAGGCCTATCACCTAGATCAGACTCAGTATTTCAGGATAAGGGGCCAGCGTCTTACTCCCATTGGAATTCCAACATCCGGAAGCCTGCTAGACAGCTGAAGAGTTGCAGGAGCATCAAGCTCACTTCAACTAATAAAGTTCATTCATTGTTACATCAAAATAGTCAACACGATAGCCAAGCCATTTCACATTTAGGCAGTTTTCTCCCCAGTAAGTGTTGTTAAGCAGTCTTAACAGACTGATGGTAATTACATTGCCATCTTAGTTGACACAGTACATCTTTCTGCATAGTTCTTGGTGTATTTAACTTTCAGCCTCTTCAAAAACAGAACCTCTCCTGCAAAAATACTTTAACTCACCGATTTCTTATTCGGCTGGCTGCTATCATAGCCAGTAGTAATATCTCGTACATGTAATATATTGTAAATACCACAAAATTTTGGATAAGACTGAGGGGAATCAAAGTTCCGAAGTTTCTCAAATATTCTTTTGATAGTAGGAGGATCATAGCACAAGAAATAGGAAGTCTTTGATATGTGATATCCATACCTAAAAGCAGATGAACATTTTCAGTTACAAGACTTAGAAGTTTTCTGCACATTTGGTATCTAAACAAAGCCCCTGTTTGGAAAAGCAGTGACAGAAAAAAAAAAATGCAGTTCTCGCAGCTGTGGAAACAGATATTTACAGGCAAATGTTTGGACTCCAAAGCAGATTTCACTGCATTACTCAGACCATGTTAAGCTATTTTTAAATTCAAGCAAAGGTTTCAGTTCCAAGGAAATAAAAGCCAACCATTTGGCTAAGTGCAGCCTTGGTAGCCCTCAGGAAGTTAATATGCAGTATCATTCTCACACCATCAAAAATCATCTGCTGCAGCCACAACAACAGATTATTTCAACAGCCTCTGAGGAAAGTGACTGATTATTTCATCCAAGTTAGAACTACTATCCCCAATCAGACCTAATGCAAGCACTCAGTAGGTGCAGCAACCATGTTTGCATGTTGAAATTTAAAAGTTGTTCTTTGCTATATTCCATCCACTCCTCATTCTACAGAGACCCTTCTCTGCAGCTTAAATAAATTAAGTGTGACTGGAAGATGAATCCTTCTGTTATCGCTGTCATTGACAGCTTTTCAATCCAGCTGAGCAGAATCACTTTTGCTATGGTTTGTATACAACACAGTGAACTCCGGAGTGCCATAAAGAGATAAATGCTGATGGTCACATCATCTGTGCTTCCTCATGCCAAGCTTCTAAGGGCCACAGCCTGTCTTTCTGCTGGGCCAGCAGGAAAAGGAATGGCATATATGATTTGCTGTAACTGTGCCACCAGTTCTGTTAAAGCACAGGAACTTCTGCTGATGGACCGAGTTTATCACAGTACAAGACTTAATTCTGACATAGACATGTTCCTCATTTTAAAGCCGTGAATTGTGTCCATAGCTGTTGAACACAGGCCATTCCTTTAACCTCTGTTCTATTACAAATCTCTTCAAGAACAGCAAATGATGTTCTAACAATCCCCAGACTGTGTTTAAGTGAAAACAGTAAGTATTTAAAGAGGCACACAGACCACAACTAAGATACAGCTACCCGTCAGAAGTTAAAAGAAGTAACATAGCATGAATCAACTAAGAGAGGAAAGTTTGCCCTGGCAGATCCATATGCAAAATTCTACACTCTCACAATTTATTGCAGAAACACGATAGAAAGGGCCTCTGTAGTCCTTTGGGAGATACAGTATTCAAGTGGTGTCTGTAATACTGAAGACTGTAGTCCATCATAGCATCGGAAAAAACAATTTACAATGAGAAAACATCCGGCGGACGCATTAAAAATATTTACTAGATTATTCCCAGCTCCAAAAAAGTTAAGTAGAACATACTAATGAAAAACTTACGTTTCATATATCTCAATGAGTTTCTGTGCTAGTGTTAGGTTCTTGCCCTCCAGGTAGGTTGCCATTTCAGCTATGACCACAGCTGCGCTTACGCCATCTTTATCTAACACTGATGTGCCACACATGAAGCCTAGAAATAAAAAAATTGATCGTGGAAAAATAACTTGACATACTATTACGCTGATTTACTTGACTGAAGTTTTAACCGTTTTCCTGTAGAAGAAAATTGGCCAATAATGTAAGCTGTTTTTTATTACTGCATATTCATTGCCCTTTTCTAAGAAATCTGATTAACTTAGGGTCATAGGACTGGAAAGATATGCGCTATAATCAGTTCATTCCAGATTGATAACATCTGCTTTCCGAGATCTCTCACAGTACAGCACTAAACATAAAAATCTGCTTGTTTTGTGCAAGCACACTGATACTGCAAAGAATCTTGCCAGTAATTTGAATCAAAGGAACCCATACAGACACAGCCTTGGTAACCCATAAGCCGTAAGCTCACAGCACTGCCAAGATGCCTTCTTTCTGAAGGGATGCACAAGCAAGATCTTAGCTCCTTATGGTTAAAAGCTTCTTTAATTTGATGGATGAAGCTGGCACGGACACACACCCTCTTCAGTGCATGCTCCATTTTCTAATGCTGTATTATATGTGAATATGCTGTCCCAGAGAGCTGTCACTTATCCTAAGGAGCGGAGAATTCCTACAGCCGAAACATTCACTACACAGTTCTCTACAGATACATGGTGTCAGCAAGATTACCAAGATAGAGCGCTCAAGGAAAGGTCAGCAGGACTATTCACACACTTTCATAAGGTATTTAATGCTATTCCTGCATGTCTGGATTCCTCACATGTTGTTCTGAGGTATGAGGGGACGGTGTACAGCTCCTGGAGGAACTGCAGTACTGGTGCAATGGACAGTAGTTAGCGATAGGATGAGAGGAAATGGCCTCAAGCTGCGTCAGGGGAGGTTTAGATTGGATATTAGGAAAAATTTCTTCACAGAAAGAGTAGTCAAGCATTGGAACAGGCTGCCCAGAGAGGAGGTGGAGTCCCCATCCCTGGAGGGGTTCAACAAACGGGCAGACATGGCACTTTGGGACATGGTTTAGTGGGCATGGTGGTGTTGGGTTGGCGGTTGGACTGATGATCTTAGAGGTCCTTTCCAACCTCAATGATTCCTAGTTTTTACTTTCATTTAAAAATAATCCCTCCACCAAGCCAGAAAACATGAAATTACTACTCTGCCCTGAATTGGTTTAGTGGTGGACATGGTAATGTTAGGTTACTGGTTGGACTGGATGATCTTAAAGGTCTTTTCCAACCTAAATGATTCGATGATTCTATGACAGCGTGATGGAAGCAAGCCACATCCTAGCTCTACACAGCCATTAACAGTGAGTCCTCGGAGAGAGGACCTGTAAGATATTACACTGATTAAGAACGGATCCTATGCTTAATCTCAGCTAAAAGGCCGCAACGCAACAGTAGTTTGGCTCTGGGATCTCAGGACTTTCAACCTGTATCAGAACAGGTTTGTATCGGGAAACTGCACAAGCACAATACCAGAATCACAGATTCATATATCATTTATTATGATAGTTACCAAGTTGATTTGATGAGAGTAAAATACCAATACTAGTAACTACAAGAAGAAAAATAAAGTACTTTTGTGTTTTGTTTCATAACTAAGACCACTCCTTTTTAGCTGCATTTTCCCCAGACAGTTCTCAACATTTTAAAGGGATATTAACATGCATACCAATAGACTCTTCAAATGCAAAGAGAACTTCTTTTCCATTATCTAGGAGATCTTTTACTCTACTTCCAATCCATTTAAAACCAGGGAGTGTCTCCTGAAACAGAAAGAAAGAAAGAAAGAAAGAAAAAAAAAAAAAAAGGAGTGCATCAAGTAAAAGAAGAAAGTGTAGCCACTATTCCCTTCACTTCCAGTATGCTTCAGATGCAAAAAGAAAAAAAGATGATGCATTCTGAATTGTAGGGTCAATGGGAAAGACCACTGCACAGTCAAAACACTAAAGCTTAAGGACATTTTTCTGATTTTCTTTAAATAATTTCCCTGAATTTAAACCCAAGTAATTGACAAACAGAATAGGGACAGTAAAGACAAACATTAGACAAGTCATATCTTCAGTTTAGATTATGAATCTAAGGCAATCACTGGATAGCATTTTACTGGTGAATACACAACTAGGACATGAATAGCAAATCAAGGAGTAAGCGTGCTTGAGAGACTGTGGTTCTCTGCAAGATCAGATAAGATCTTCCATGGTGCTTATCAGTTGAGACAACAGTACAAAGTTACTCAAAAGAAAAAGTTACAGAAATATAAACAGCAATTTTGGGTGATGGGAGGGAAAAGCACTGCTTGTGCTCTTCAAATTATGCAAAAGCAGTCAAAAGCTTAGAAACAGTCCTTCTTGGAGAAAAAGAAGGTACAAAGAGAGGAAGCTTTTAGAGGAGACCAAGGGGGTGGGTAAATTCCTAGCTTCCCCCCCCGCCATGTGTCCCTTTCCAGAAAAAAAAAATATTAACAATATTTAGTGAGATAATGAATTCACTACAAGGCAGTGATCCTCAACCTGATTAAGCCTATCTGAACAGTCACTCAAAATGCTTTGCAGAGTTGCTTTCAATTTTAGTTTTTAATTCCTCGTTGCCTGGCAAAGTATTTTTTCCTATTGCACATGGATTTAATTAAGACATGTATTAAACAAGACCTGGATCTTTGTGTGTTTGTGCTAAGCTTTAGAGCACTTGCGTCTCTTACAGCTAACATCCAACAGTCTCAGAAATCAGTGCAAGTACTTAATTTGAATGCAGGAACTAAAATAATAACAACTGTCAGTCTGCAAGGGCACGTCCCGTTTTCCTTTTTAGCAAGTCCTTAATGAAACAACATTAAAGATCTGACCATAAGAGTTCCTCTGCCTGTCACAATTTGAAGTAAACCCAAATTTAAAACCTACTAGTGATCCAGGCACCTGAAGGAACAGTGTGTAACCTGTAGTGTTTGTTACAAACCCATCAAAAAGCACTCTATTTTTGTAGTAAGCACACCAAGTTGCACACACTTTCATTCTCTCACCCAGAAGAATTTATCTCTAGGAAAATAATCAAGACAAAGGCATTTCTATCATATGTAATTTACGTTTTAATCTGTCACCTGTTACAGCCTCCTTGCAGCTTTGCACAAGTTGGTCTCACAGTCTGCATTCACTGCAACAGGGATTGAGAAACGCTGCAAATGCTGAAATCAGGCTTGTCTAGGTAAAACAGCATTCTCTGCAAGTTGGAACGTATAAAAACTCCCAGCCAAAAGACTGGAAGTCATCTGAAGTCATCTGTCTATTTTTCATTTCATAAAGTCAGAAGGTGGGGGGGAGGGGGGCTAGACAGAGAACATGGCAATCGGATTTTACACTGCCAAGACGACATCATAAAAACCACACTTACTTCAAAGTGAAATCCCTCTTTAAGCGCAATTGCCCTCAAAATTTTTGAGGAGACTGTGGTCGCTAACATGTAAACATTCTTCACATCAGCATTTTCAGAGCAGTTTTCCTTCCAGCAAGAAAACATCCACCACCCAAACAAAGCTGCTAGCTCGTTGCCAGTGAACACCTTCCAGCAGCCACTGTGGACAGGATAGAAAATATAAGAGCTCTTTCAGGTTTCTCAGGAGCATCCACTCAGGGGGAAAATGTTTTCTGCAGTCACTGGAACAAAAGGAATCTGAGCACACTACTGACAAGCTGCTCAATACAAAGCCACCGTACTAACAGGACTCCACATTTATCACGTCTCAATGATTTACAAGCCCAGTGCATTCTGTTAGCAAGCAAAGATACCAATTAAAGTATCCTTACTGTCAGCTTTAAAACAGCTTAAGTCTTTTTAATTTATGAAACTGAAGTATAGCAGTCTATACAGTCTATACATTGCAGTCAGGCAATGCCTGCGCAACCGCGCATTATAGACAGTTACTTACACAGTGATCAGAATTTTGGCCTGTTAGTGGAAGAAAAATAATTTCTATTCAATATGAAGCAGGCAGGCAAAAACAAACAAAAAAAACCCCAAAAAAGCCCACAACAGCTAACTGTCCCAAGGCAGAATTTCTTTGCCCAAGAGAAGTGAAAAAACAGTAACAACAAGATTTTATTGTCTTTAGTAACCACTCAACTTCTCAGTTAAGTTTTATTTGGCCATTTACTGTAACACTAGTAAGTATTTAATCTAATCTTTTCTGAGTTAACTAATTTTAACTTTTCTTAGTTAATTAATTAACTAACTTTATTTAAAATGCATGATTTCAGGTGGAGCTATACCAAAAGATGAAGCTAGCAAGAAAAATATCCAAATAGCTAAGCCACAACAGGAAAGAG